GGTGTATTCATCTCTCTGATGTATTATTAACTTATTTTATGGTAGTCCAGTGGGATAAATGAATTTCGTTGGTCCTTATTGAGATAATCATCTTATTTGTGAATCCTTTGACCAATGTAGTTTGACTATATTGGATGCAACGGTATGTATTTCAAATTATGATAGTACTAGGACGAGCCCCATGGTACACAGTTGGTTTCATGCATGTACGAGATTCATGTGATCTTCCGATAAATCTTTTCTGAATTACTTGGTGCCCGTAAAAATTATTTAGAAGAAAATTTACCCAGATTATGTGGAGCGGTGGTATCCCACTCCTTTCCAACTTTGCAACTTGTTTGTGAAGAGTGTACACTTTTGAGGAGCAAATTCTTATTAGATTGCAACTCTTAATGAGCATAATTTCTTGCTATTTGCATGGACACACCCAAAGAAGACCGCCGAGAAAATAGCCTTGAAAGAGGTGGTTGAATTATTGAGACACTCAAGAAGGCCATTTTCACACTTCTAACCTCTAGGCCAAGCGAGTTATAAATCATTGGGCTAAGATTATGAGAAATTCTGTTGTCTGCTGTGAAGGAGCTTGTCACGAGAGCCAGGCAGATTTGCCTTGATGCACACTGATTAATCGCCATTGGCTTTCGATAGCTCTTCCAATCGCTAAATCACGTGCCATCCACTGAAAATATTGGCAGCAGGAGACTATGGGGCATTTACTCCAAAGCAATGAATTGAGAGAGATATATTTAACCAACATTTACAGGTTTTGAGGTGTTTATGTTAGGGTGGTTAATTTCGCCCTTCCAGTTCGCTTTTGGAAGCTTGCTTGCTTACTATCGATGTATGTTCATGGGAATTCTCTTCGAACACATACTCTAGTTCTGATGTACATAATAAAAATACATTTGTTCTTTTAAAGTCAGTATTTTGCACTGATATTGCGGCTGTGATAACCGTCGGTAGCTTTAACACTGGTTTTGGTGACATTGGCGTGGTCTGCTCTAGTTTTCTTGCCGTTTGAAATTTTTGCAACTCTTTATCATTTTTTCGAGATCTTTTTTTCCAAGACTATCACTATTCCAATTTGTTGCCGAGTAGACGAGACATGATTATTCTCCGTCTTTCCACCTGGATTTTATATGATCAACTACATGAAGTGAGATCCGATATATCAGCTTAATAAAATATTAAAAAGGTTGTGAATCATGTATATATAACTCAATACAGTGAAGCAAACATACTTCATGACTTTATGAACTCTGCTGGCTTAGTCACCCAAGTCATTAAGAAGAAATATTCTAGCAGAAGTATTTACGAACAAAAATGATGGAAGATGTGAGATAAGTTCAAACTCAACAATTAACGTCCTGATATACTTTTTGGAAATACAAATACGGTGATAACTGGTAGCCGCACAATGTCCAAGTACTAAGAGAAACTAGTCTTAGCAGATGCATATACTAAATCTATGCAGACCGGGGATGTCAGTGGACGATCAGACTGTCTAACTATGTGTTGTGGATCAAACACATGTTTGGAAGAGCAATCTGATTAGCGTAGAGCACAAACTTGGTGAACGAAGTTATAGTGAACGAACGGCGTAGAGCACAATAGTCTCATACATGGCAGCAACTAATGATTTCACTAAATTATTGTTTTTTCTTAATGGTATATGCTTGCCGCGGGACCCATTGCGAGCTGCTTGGAGGACATGTCCACAGTGGGCGGTCAAAACGAGCGCGGATGAATCTATCTAGCGGTAGCAAATCCGATTATCAGTAATAAACTCGTCTGATCTCACTCAACGAGCTGCGGTAATGGGGTGGAGTTTCCTGGAGGCTTCGAACGCGAGAGGAGTTATAAAATGAACCTCGTCGGATTGATGGGATGGGATGGCGACTCGCGGGGCTCGTTGACCTAACGGAAAGTGAGCGACGGAGTTATCTCGATGTCGGTCAATGGCATCCTTTTCTGAGCAGATGAGCCTTACCGACATCCATGCATGGCAGGCCCCGCCTTTCCCGCTGTCTCTGTGGCCAACCGTACTATTCATGCATACGGAAACGTGTTTAAATACGGTACTCTCGAGTTGAAGACTTGCGGCCCCACGACCTTACTGCCTCGCCTTACAAGAACAAACGCCACCACTTGCCAAGACTGCGGTTCACTGTACCTCTCACCCATGACTGTCTTCAATTCTGGTAAAGTCTACAGTCAAAGTACAGTAGAGTCCCTTCAGGGTGCTACGTGTCATAGAATCGTAACTCTTTCGACTGTTACTGAACATCCTACTCTGTTCTCAGGGTAACAGAGGCGCAGGAAAGGCGTCGTTTATTTTGTATTTTCGTCGTCGTATAAATTCTATCACAGTTTCTCTCTCGAGAACTTCTTCTCAGGCCAGGAAAAGTTTGGTCAATTATTCTGTTCGGCATATTAAAATACTGGCGAGCTTTAGCCGAATACATCGCCCTTGGAGCCAGTATTATGATCTGCGTCTAGATGTACTTAGACCATGCTATAGACATGGTTAACCCAGTGAAGTGGAAGGCGTTAACCATTTTTTTTCCCTTTTTTTTTGGGGGGCCCAATGCGGTTTTTAGGAAGCACTGAAGTTACCCAACTGCGCACTTCCGGATAATTGTTTGTTATTGGCTTATAATAATTATTAAATGCCTGTCCCGGTAGCCCAGTAACATTCCTCCGGACTAACATATACGGAATCCGACTGTGGCGGCGAAATTCAGGAGGGGCCGTCCCGACAGGCATATCCAGGACAGGTGTTATCTAAACTCTAGAAGTAGTCTTATATGTTGACAGCCTTCGGATACACATCTGACGACTTGTAGAGAGTCGCAATCTACCCGTTAATCCAGCTCCTCGCTCAAGTTTAGGTTAATAGTATCGGTTCCAATAACAATAATCAGATCTCATGAATTCTTCGGGCAGCAGAAACCTTCAGGCCTCGGTCGTGATTTGGTATAACGTCTCTCTCTCTCTCTCCCTCCTTCAAGCAATCAGAGCTAATTAAATGGACAGGTACTGCCGTTGATTGGATGGATTTGCGCGGGCCCCACCGTTGCGATTGGTTTTCGTGTGCACCCCGGATTTGGGTTCACGAAATCGGGAAAGGAAGCACGTAAAGACGACGAAAGAACGAATGGAGGACGACGTGGAAGGACCGAAGTAGAAAATCTGGCGTGGGTACGACGCACTCAATATTGAGATCGTACTTACAAGAACAACGATTTGTTAGAATTAATTACGAGAACAATTAGATCACTTGAGCTTTTATGGATTTTATGAGGGTGAACAGCTGGTCGTATCTAAGTCCGGGCAGGGGGTTCGATACAAGAACTATTCTCTCTCGCTCTGATGAGCCGCTGGCACTGTTTTGAAAAGTTGGTAGAGTTACGGCTCGGGTGAAGGAGGCCAGGGGGCCCGACCCGGGCGAGGCCGTCAGGGGATGATGTCATGGAAGGAAACCGCGACACCTTGCTAAGAAAGTCGCGACAGAAGAAGGGGAGAAACAGCTGCGGGGAGGAAGCTGGCAAGGCGATAAGGACCGCGGGATTCCCATCGTACGGTGGAAACCGCGTTCTGAGGCAGGGATGGTTGGAAGATCGTAAACCGCGATGACAAAATATTAGGGCATTAGGGTAGGAGTCCGACAAAGGGATAAAATCTGTACAGTGGAGATTCTCTTCGGAAAAGGCTGGTGGCCCGATCCGGACGACGGACGGAAGGTGGACGACGAGGCCGTCGCCCGGGGACGGAGAGGAATTTCGCCCCAGGCGAGTGGAACAGCGGACAGCGTCGGACGTTAACGCCCAGAGGAATCAGGAGAATATTCCCGGCAAATGAATGTCGTGGTGGTCGCAGGTGAGGAGGGGTGAGAGTCGTTCGGCAGATGGCGCCAGGCTCCTAGAGGTGGCAACTTGGCGCGAACGCGCAGGAGGACAGGGGTTTAGGACGACGATGCGAGCGCAGCCAGTCGAGAAGGTAAGGGGATGGGATGGGAGGGAATGAGAAGGAAGGCATGGCATGGCATGGCATGATATGACATGGCTGATGATGACCCGGAAGGAGATGTACAGAGAGGAAAAGCGTAACCGAGAGCAGAGCAGAAGATGGCGACACTGCTCGGGGGAGTTCGTTCGGATGTACGAGAGAGAGAGCGAGTGCACTTTGCGACCGGTCTGAGCTAATCCTTAAACCGGCCGTTGCCCATCGGATCCGCATCCTCCAGTTTCTACGAAGAAGAGGCGGGATCGGGGCAGAATAGCAGAAAAAGGAACAGGACGAGGACGAGGACGGGCGGACGGACGGACGCGAGAGAAAAATCTGTACGGCTGGATCTCCAAAGGATGAACAGCGGCCCAAACGGATGGCGAAAAGGACGGAGCCCAATAGAAAAAATTAAATGGTCTTCGGGAGCCCATGTCAGGGCAGCGCCGTCCGGGTCGGCTAGGGTCCTGAGCGGTCAAACAATGGAGCGCGAGCTGGCGGGCGGAGGGGGCGGAGTTCTATTGGGTCGGGGTCTTCAGCCTCCGGTCTGGTCGCCGTTTTACTGCGGCTGCTGCGGCTGCTGGAGTAGGAGCTCACTCCCAGTCCGCGCGTCTCGAATGTCATGCAACAGGGAAAAGTTCCTGTAGGCCGCGCTCTCGCCCGCTCACCCGCTCACGAGCGTGTGGTCGTTTCAAGTTGAGCGAGCCGAACGGAGCGACTGAAATCTGACTCATCATCCGCGTCGTCCGTATTTCTATTCGTCTCGCTCCGCTCCGCTCCGCACCGTCCTTCTCTCTCCCTCTCTCCCTCTCTCCCATTCTCCCTCGGATTGGGATCACGGGGCAAGCTGCCACCGAGCGAGCGAGAGAGAAAGGCAACGAAACGAAACAATGCGAAGTAGTCGGCAGTAGAAGAAGAAGAAGAAGAAGAGGACAGAGAAAGAGTACGAGGGGGGGAGGGGAGGGGAGTGGAGTGGAGTGCAGCAATTGGAGCGTAGACTGGACTTTCTCCTGTTCGTAGAGTACGCCGTGAGATTAGCCAGCGACTGGACTCTTCCACTGGTCGTTCGTTCGAGCGAGCGAGCTTGTTTAGGGAGGGAGGTCAGTTCGCGCGAGGGGCAGGGCAGCAGCAGCAGCAGCAGTAGGAGGAGGAGGAGGAGGAAGAGAGAAGAAGAAGGCGACAGACGTGCGGCGAGATCAAGCGGCTAGTGTGCCGGTCCGAGGCGACAGAACAGCCAGCCAGCAGGAGCTGCAGCAGCGCTTTGACAGGAGAGCAGCAGAGTTGTATGCAGTTGGTGCCCTTGCTCGCGCTCACAACGAGAGCGAGAGATCAAAGGAAACGGAAGCCGAAGGAGAGGGAGGGAGGGGGAGAGAGAGAGCGAGAGGGGAGCAGAGGAGGGGGGCTTCCGAAGGGGACGGTGAGCGACAGACGACTCTACCACTCTGCTCTGATGATGGATGATCTGAGATGAGGTGGGCTGGAAGGAGGAGCAGCAAGGAGGAGGAGGAGCAGGAGAAGTTGAGGGTAGGGGACGGAGAGGACGACGAAGGAAGAAGTGGAGAGGTGGAAGGCGCTGCCGCTGCAAGTCGCTGCAGGTGGTGAGGGTGACGAGAGGAACGAGTGTGGTGGAGTGGCACGTAGTTTTTCTTTATAGTTTTTTTTTAAAAATCGAGTAGTCGTCGAGGCTGGTGCGAGTCCTAAATCGACAACTCCTCTCGCTTCTGATTCTTTTACCAGTGACCCTGGCGTTCGGTTTCGCGGCTCTATGCTCGTAGCAGCAGCCATGGCGGCAGCAAATCCGACATCCGTCCAGTCCACACAATTCGCTTCCGGCGAGTGAGAAGTGAGGAACTTCTCGGAGCAGGCGGACGAAGGGCAGTTGCAGCAGGGGCACGAGGAGGAGGAGAAGAAGAAGGCGCACGCACGATACGGAAGGTGCGAGGATCGACGGGTGTGTTGTGTTTCAGTAGGGCGTTGCCTGGTGTGCCCGTGGAGAGCCGAGTGGGGAGGTGGGCTTGACAGACTGAGAGGTGTATAGTGAGCGACAAGCCGAGGAGACCTCGAACCGCTAACTTTCAGGGATAGTTCAAAGCTTTTGATATTCAGGATTCGGAGATTTTTTGCTTTGCTAATGACCAAAGGCGTATACAAGTCTTTGCGGACTGCGGGTTCCTTAGGTAGGAAGGTTGACGGCAAGCCAGGGGATTGCCCACGCCGGTGGATGGTCCTTTGAAGGAAGCTAGTGAGCTCCAGAGAGCCTAATCGGGCTTAGAAGCTGATCAGGAGACCGGACTGACAGGCAGAGAGACTGGCTCTTTCAGCAACGGCAGGCGGGACCCCTTTTTTGGCGCTTCGATGTTGCTTGCGAACTATCGATTGAAGAGAGCAGGGGAAGAAATGTTCGTCAGCGATTGACCTAGTCTGGGTTTCTGCTTCAATGTTCTCTCGGACGACAGAATCGGGATAAGTGTGAGAAGTGTGAGGGAAGGCCAGAGGGCAAAAGTTTGATGACCTGTTGTCGTCGACGTAGCCTAGGACGAAGCGGTTTTGGCACTTTGACTTTCATGGCTGGCTCGGGTGGCTAGGGACAGGAGAGGAAAGACAATGTTACTCGGGTTGCCGCGGAATCCTAGTCAGACGAGTGCTGCGGCCGAGTACTGAACTGCTGCGGTTGCAATTGCGTGACATGTAGTAGCTGTGATTGACAGACGAACTTACGGATGTGTAGTAGGAAGGTCTAGACCGATTCTGAGAGTGTGCATTCAAAGCCGGGGAGCGATGTCTTTGGAAAACCCAGAGTTGGCGCTGTTGCTGCTCTTTTTCTTGCTTGTTCCGCAGTGGGTAGACTCTCAAGAAGACCAGCAGTGTCTTCTGGATTTCAAAGCATCAGTGAAGGACCCAGCCAATTATCTTGATGGTTGGAAATCAGGTGGAAACATTTGCAACTTCATTGGAGTTACCTGCTTACACATTGATGAGCCGAAGGTGTACACACTGAAGCTTCCTGGAGCGTCTCTCTCAGGAAGCTTTCCAAAAGGCTTAGCGAAGTGCAAGTCCCTTACTTCCTTGGATTTGTCTGGGAACAGTTTCTCTGGACCCATATCCGCCACCCTTTGCGATGACGTTCAATACTTGGTGAGCATAAACTTGAAGAACAACAAGTTCACCGGAGGCATTCCAACCAACCTGGGAACCTGTAAGTACTTGAATGAGCTCTATCTTCAGTTCAATCAGCTTACGGGGGAGATCCCCGCCAGCGTTGGGAATCTTAATCGCCTGAAAGAATTCAATGTCTCTCACAACAACCTGGAGGGCGTCATTCCTTACGCCGTCAGCCTTAGATTCAATGATACTGCCAATTTTGCAAGTAACCCAGGACTCTGTGGTGCACCCCTGACATCGGAATGCAAGTCCAAAACCGCCAAGAAGAACACTGGGTTGATCATCGGAATTGCTATCGGAGCAGCTGTCGCTGTGCTGGTCGCGGTCGGGACTTTGATGTGGTGGTACATGATATCTCGGCCTCTTGGTTACTACTCTCGGAGGGACGAAAATCGATGGATCAAACGTATTAAGGCGCCGAAATCCATCATCGTATCGATGTTCGAGAAACCTCTTGTGAAGATTAAGCTCTCTGACTTGATGGCTGCCACCAACGATTTCAGCCAGGCCAATGTCATTGCCTCTGGCCGGACGGGAACCGTGTACAAGGGCATCCTCCCTGACGGTTCCGTTATGGCGATCAAGCGGCTGCAGGTCACTCCTCACTCTGACAAGCAGTTCAAGTCCGAGATGGAGACTTTGGGTAGGCTTAAGCACCGGAACCTGGTTCCACTTCTGGGCTATTGTATTGCCGGTCAAGAGCGTTTGCTAGTATACAAGCACATGCCAAATGGGACACTTCAGGACCACCTTCGAGGGTCATCCTACAGAGGACCGGTCACTGAGCAATTTTCGAAATCAGGTGACGCTGAGAAGGGTTTGACAGATAATGGAAGTGTCTCCCTGGAGAAGCTGCCTGAGAAGAAACTTGACTGGGAGACACGGCTGAAAATAGCTATCGGGGCTGCGAGGGGATTGGCATGGTTACATCACAGCTGCAACCCTCGTGTGATTCACCGAAATATTAGCCCCGGGAGTTTACTCCTGGACGAAGAATTTGAACCCAAGATCTCCGACTTCGGTCTGGCTCGTCTCATGAATCCTGTGGACACTCACATCAGTACTTTTATCAATGGTGATTTTGGAGACGTGGGATACGTAGCTCCTGAGTACGTGCGCACGCTGGTAGCCACCGTGAAGGGTGATGTCTACAGTTTTGGCGTGGTTCTTCTGGAGCTCATCACCGGGAAGAAGGCTGTTGATGTAGCGGACGACAATTTCAGGGGTAACTTAGCCGAGTGGATTATGTTTTTGACTGGAACCTCGAATGTTGGGCATGCAATCGATAAGTCCTTGACAGGCGCAGATAAGGATGACGAACAGATGCAGTTTTTGAAGATCGGCGCGTCGTGTGTAGTGCCTGAACCGAAAGAGCGACCGTCGATGTATGAAGTCTTTCATATGTTGCGAGCCATCGGGGAGAAGTATCACTTTACTGATCATAATGATGAGATACCCCTTGCACCAAACACAGGAGATCTAGACGAGAAGGAGCTGATTGTATCTAACTCATAGCGGAGAGGTAATACGAGCAGTCTTTTTTCCTAGGCATAACTGAGCAGTGGTGCTCGGCAGTTTTTTCCTTTGACTTTTTTTTTTTTGCTTGCAAGACCAACTTGGAGCAGGTGGAACTCAGTACACACTCTTGTAATTTATCAACTTACCCAGTGCTCTACCGCTGTACAAGGTTCAACGCGATCATCTGCTGGTCTGTTATTTGGCTTCCCCCATCCAACCCCCCTCACTTATCTTCTCTATACATTCAGACTACTTGTGCAATGGAGTAAAGGCGCTATTGTAGAATGTTTTGGCTTGCAAGGCAAAACGAATCTTAACCTCCAGAGTGTCTGATCGGTTACCGACCTCCATGGTCGGTTCTGTGTCAGCAAGGACAATGTTATCCCCAACGGGATTACATGAGGTCAAAATGAGTCATTTTTTTCTAGCCTTTTACAGGAAGGTCTATTTTCTTTGTGTCTCTGGACGGTTCTGTGTACTCCTTGCATGCTCTTCTACCGTCCTCAAATGAACTGGGATATAAGAGATATTCACGTCATACGAGCAAATCAAGATGGTGCACTTTTGATTAAAAACTAGCATCCATCCGGGTGGGGGTGAGGACATCAAGTTCTTCGCGTGTATGTTGCGAAGAAAGCATGTACACGGCAAGCGCTTGGTGGTTTTGTGCAGTTTCCATTAAGGCAATTATCAGAGTTCGGGTAGATTTTCGGGTGAAAGGTACCTGATCCCAAGGGTCTGTGAAACGAACATACGACCAGAGGATGTGCTTGGACTTGCGTTGTAAGTGTCTACTCTCCAAATACTACTAGGAGCCCCGAAGTTCATGGATGTGCGACATGATTGCTATATTGTGAGGCCCTGGCAAATGCCCTCGCCAGTTTCTGCCTGTCGAATGCCGGTACCGCCTTCTCTCACTTAAGTCACCGGGTATATGACTGCCCCCATAGTTTTAATGTTCGTGCTGAACCAATCTATGTTTCAAATGTGTGCTGTGTGTGGATAGAGCATTTGAATATTAACGAATTTAGAGCTGTATCTACTTTTTTCAATGGTGTAGTTCGTCGTGTATATTGTAAAGCGTCTTGGTGTACATTCAAATAACGTACAACTGAGAGTACGAGGTAGTTTTTGTACTTTTAATTACGTTTTGTAGGAAAATACACTACTACCCAGTTCTTGTGTATTGCTTCTTCTAATTGAACCGCAAATTGCTAATTCCAAATTTTGCTAGCTCATTTGTCCACCTGTTTAAAATTTGTGATGAGAAGCTCTCACAAATGTCCGCGGCCTGTAAGATTCCAACTTACAGTTGGAATCTTCTGGACGGGAATATGCTACATTGTGGTCAGATTTCTCAACATCATTTGCCGCGCAACTCGGCATGGCTGTCTGACCTAGCATTGGCCTGCAGTTATCCTCCAGTCACCACAGCCGTGTACATGAATTCGTCAGTGTGAGGTGCAAGTTATACCCTGTGTTTGACAAGCCGCGAGAAAGTCTATTTGAACGGGTCTTCAACATTAAAACCACTACCATCTCTTAAGTTCTTACACGGTGAAAAGAGCCTCTAAGACTTTTCATCATACGCCATAAGCTGGAGAGACTAGATAAGCGAAACAGGTTTGCACTACATTAAATCTTGTGTTTCAGTGTAACTAAGTATATCACAATTATGAAAGAATTTATGTTACAAAATCGATTATGTACCGAAGACCCTGAAGCACAACGCCACAATCATCAGATGTCAAGGAAAGTGAAGATCAAAAACAGTGCGCGGACATGGGGTCTAATGAACCGCAGAGTTGACCAAGAAAAGATTTGAAGATTCACTGTAAGATACTTAACTTTGGGTTGATTTATCTCTACGCCCATATGAAGCCTTCAAGTGTTTCAATGAAAAATGCGGACTTGTGCGAGCGAAGTTTGAAAACCACGGATACTTGTTGACTTAATATTTACCGTCGAGGGGGCTTGAGGACATCAGAATTCTTTTCTCTATTCCCTAAATACGATTCAACTTATACATATACATACAAGGAAAAAGATAAAAACGGCCGGGCCGATTTTACTCCGGAACGCCCCTGCGATTGGGTGAACTTTAAATCTTAACATTCCAATAGCGACTTCTGGCCCGTGATATCGGAATTGGTTTTTGTGGAGTAGCCACTGTCTTCTCTATCCCAGCCATTTCACACGTATCTCTATTGTGAAAGCGTCCGCAAAGAAATCGGACTCTTCTTTGGTCTCCTTTCCAGTTAGTTTTCCAGCTCGTTCTTGTTCTTCTTTTCTACATGATTCCCCGACTGTTTCCCACCTTGTCCCCCGCGCAAGTACCGTCTCCCTTGCCCATCTGTATACATTACTTGTGCCTTTTTGCGAGCAGACGTCTACAACATTTTACTTTTATTAGCCTACAAAATTTACGTAGCAGAAGAAGAAAAGAAACACGAAAGTTGATATGCGTTACTCTTGCATTGATGCCAATGGGGCTGCGGTTTTTCTTTCACACGTTGTCCGCTTGTGGCATGGTCTGCCGCAGCTACTATTCCATTGCAAAAAAAAGTCAAACAAATTGTATGTCGCAATGAAACTAATGAACTTCAAGATAAAATATTAAAGCAAAGAGATATAAAATCAGATTGGTGTTTTGATGATTTTGTCACAAGTTTTTAAAATCTTCAGAAAATATTAAGTGATGAGAGTTAATTTCATTTTACTCTTAAGCTTAATATTTGCTTTTTATTAATCATTTTCACTTGAGTTGCTTTATTGTGATAAAAAAATAATCGTTTATGCATTAGAAAAATTATTTATTTATAAGTTATGAAACATTGTGTTACTTTGCAGATTTAAAATTCGAATCAAGTAAAATTTACTAACAATTTTTTTTACCTTTATATATAAACGTTGAAAAAAAAAACAGATTATAAATAAATTTTAACATTTTATGGCTAGATTTTAGTTCTAATTAACTCAAATTTTGAAAGAGATTTATGTTAGATTTCTATGTATCTATATGAATTAAAATTATTCATAAAATATGGATCATTTTTCTCTTCTATACAAGAAGAGATAAGATGCACATCTTAGATAAACTAACCACAGTTAACTTTTCTAACCATGATTATCAATAACTGGAGTTAGTCCAAGATAGAGTTAACCTAATAAACTTTCCCTTGACTCGAATCTTGAAGAGGTAACCAATGTAATCCACATGTATCTCTACGGGAAATTCTAGAAAGTAAAGCTAAATCACGCTTTTCCTTTATAACCGATAGTTAACAAGATATAAGAAATAGCTGGCAAAAATTGGATGAAGAATACATGTACAAAAGGCTAACCATTCCTAAGCAAAATTTGCAACTTTGCACAATGCTTGGAAAATTTTTTCTATGAAATCACTTTGGTCAATGCGGCGGCAGGGTTGAGCTTACCATTAGTTTGATGAGCTTAAATGCACAATCAAACACTGTTTGTCAGATATGAGAATATTGGATATCAATGTGCTTTACCCTACCATCCATCACATTGTTTGATGCTAGATGAAGTACAATTTGACTATCACAGTAAAGATTCATATCACTGTGTGGCAACTTCATCTTAGTGGCCAACTTGTTTAATCAAATTGCCTCCTTTGCTGCAATGTATTCTGCTTTTGTGGCTGACTCAGAAATGTATTTTTGAAGTGCACATCTCCAACTTATGTATTCACCAGCAAGAGTGAAAACAAACCTTGTTGTTGATCTCCGCTTATCCAGATCTCCTCCATAATCAGCATCAACATACCCCAAGAGCGAACTTGCATTGTTTGATCGTGCATAAAACAATAATCCAGTATCAAGAGAACCCTTGATATACCTAATTATCCACTTCACAGCTTCCCAATGCTCTTGTTCGGGATTTGACATGTACCTACTCACCTTCCAAACTGCATATGCTATATCAAGTCTGGTGCGTACCATTAGATATATAATGCTGCCAACTGCACTTTCATAAAGAATAGAAGACATCAATCCTTTTGCAGTTGAATAGAACGATGTCGAAAGTATTAAGCGTGAAGCTAATGGAGTACTTACAGCTTGAAAATTTGACATGTTAAATCTAGCAAGTACTTTCTCTGCATATTACATTCGTGTCAATCAAATTTTGCTTGATGATTCTTCCTTGTGGCTCTCCATGCCTGGAATATGCTTAGTAGGACCTAGATCTTTCATATTAAACTCAGAACAGAGTTGGACTTTTAATTTAATAATCTTAGACCTATCCCTAGCAATAATAAGCATGTCATCTACATACAACATGATTAATATGAAGCCAAAACTTGTGTTGCTAACATGCTTCATGTACACACAAGGATCATATGCACTTCGTATGAAGCCTATAAACCAAACGTTTCTTTCAAAAAATCCTCATATAAATCATTTCGTTTAACGCTTCATTCAAAAAGGTTATAACAACATACATCTGATCGAGAAATAGATCAAATAATGTGACAAGTGCACACAATAATCATATAGTTGAAAACTTAGCAACATGTGAAGAAACCTCAGTGTAGTTGATGTCCTTCCGTTGTTCAAAGCCATTGACCACAAATCTTGCCTTGAAGATTTTTTCATCTGCATCTGTAGCACCATGCTTCACCGTGAAGACTCATTTGTACTATAGCTTGTTTTTCATTGGACAATTCCATAAATTTCCAAGTCTGGTTGTCATGAAGTGATTTCATTTCCTTTCGCATTGCTGCATCCCAATCAAGCTTCTCCAAAACCTATTGAGATTCAATATAAGACAACAATCTCCCATCCTCATGATCAACGCTCCCCCCGACTCATCAACAAGTAGGTATTTGTCCTTGACAGCATGTTCAGTAGAAAATTAGATACCATAGCTTTTGAGTGCACAACAAACACGTGTGGATCTTGCAGTTGAATATTCTAGTTGATTAGTGTGATGGTTCAAATGATGGCTCACGAGCAATGTGTTGCTCCTCATGGACCTCTTCAAGAACAAAATCTTGCTCTTCTGCCTCGCCCGTTATTTATGAAGCACCTCCTTGCTCCCATCATGAGAAATTTCATGAAAATTTTTCCCCTCAATGATGTTTGGGAAAGATAATTGGCCTTTGTTAGTAGCAGAATCAATAAATTCCTCTTCTTTTGATAATCTCGA